TAGAATGCAATTTTTTCATTTTGACATTAGTTATTATTTCTGAATGCTTCAACATGTTTAGCGCTCGGAATAATTTTCGCTTATCTTCAGATCATTGTAGCAAATAATCTTTCTAAAAGACATTGCTTAAATTTTCTTAGCAACAGGTATCTTGAAGGTAAATGAGATAATTTTTGATAACTGTGATACCAATTTTTATTACTTAACGGTCAAAAGTATTCCAAGCTCTAATTTCTATCAGCAGATCTCTCATTGCCATATGCAATGATAAGGGGAAGTGATATTATGGCCAAATCCTACATAGAATACTTAAGTTATTCTTCCATATTCTATGTTACTATACTCTCTGTTTATCTCTAACGATATACGAACCCTCGCAAAAAGTACTGGAGAAGACTGATACGGTCAAGTATTGCTACAGTACTGCATATGCAATTCATAGTCTCTTCACTCTTCAATACAAACTCAACGCATTCGACTTCCTGAAATCGGAATTGCTAGGTAGATTCATTGATATTTGAAATGAAGACAATTTGGATTGCTAAAGAGCCTTTTTAATGATTTCATCACCAATGCAGGATATTTGTAACATGACTTATGAGACTTTTCAAGCTTACATCATCGTCATTATCTTTTTCAATATTCACTTTGATGCATTTTTGCAATGCCGGCGCGTGATATCATGTTACAAGAAAAAAATCCACATTCCATCAAATCAAAAAACAGATTCTCAATGCCAGATTCAGGTATGATTCCTAAGAAATGCAGTATCGGTCTTTCTGTTTGTCAGCAACGATTCTTCTCCGCCGAAGTTGAACTTACGACTTATTGGAATTATGATTAAGTGAGCTTTGCTAGTGATTTAGCGATTTAGCAACTATAAACCATCACAAATACAACGTATTTTCAAAAAGTTATCTTTCAGGTGATGCCATGCATTATTACTTCTAAGTTTAACATACTTTCTACCGATAAAATTGTCCAAGAATAAGAAGAAACGAGTGGCCTATCATGAGAGAATGACTGCACCATCTTTATGCTACTTTTGATGGTTTCATTTCTTTATGTATTGAATTACTTCGGAAATCATGGTTATTTCTAATGGTTTGTTACATTTGAAAAAATTTTGTCAAATTGGAAGCATTCTTTTGTGAGTAAATAATGTGCAGAATGAAAAGTATTATATAAGTGGGCAAATAGGCAAATCAATGTAATTTTAATGAACTAAGAAGGAAAAAAGGTGTAGATTTATTGGAATTGCAAGGAATCAAACAAACATGCAAATCAAGTAATCACAAAAATGTCAATCAGACAAACACATTTCTGATCAATCATCTGCAGATTCAAATTTCAGAAGAGAGAAGATTATTGTTGCATTGACATGACATTGCTGCATTATTGTAATGCGATAATTATCTTTTCATATTAATTTAATTAAGTCATCGTTTTTTTAATCTTCAGTTATGTCTATTTTCTATGACAATTAGTAGCAACTGAGTAATTTTTGAGATAAATTCATTTTTAATAAGTAATATAAGTTTTCATTTCCAAGTATTTATAACGATCGTCGATATACTTGATGTTTATCAACTGTTATGTTGACTTTATCGATCAATTTCTGTATATGTAATCGTTATCGTCGAACATTCCATTCCATACTATCTCGTTTCAAATAGGTTAACATTTGATAGATTCCATATATTTTAGATACTGTTTCAAAAATGTCTAATTGGAGAAGAGAGAATGATCACGAAAATTTATGAAAGTGAAAGTGGAACACTTTTTAATGGAATCATTGCTAACCACTATGAGCCATAATATTACAGAAGTATTATTGGAATGTCCAAAGGCAGATCTCATGTCGGCTTCCCTTTGAACAATTAACTTTCAAAAAATTAATAAGCTTCTTGTTTAGTTCTAGTTTAAACAAGAATCCCTCACATGAATAAGTACTAAATTTAGGATGCTATTTCTACTTGTTTAGGGTTTTTTTTTTAGGAGGCTTGTTCTGCTGATTGTAATAAATCAATTCATAGCTTCTTACACCGAAACAAAATTGGAAGTTTCTTGAGAGTGAGAAAAAATAGTTCTAGGAGTTCTGAAGATGGACACAATCCGGAAACAATATTTCAGGACAATCAGGAAATCAGACAGTAAGTAATTGGAAGTATTAATCTGTTCTAAAAGCTGGGAAAATGCTCTAATCTTACTTGAAGCAGTATACTATGAAAACGAACCAAAGCAGTATAGACGAAATTGATAATAGGGTGTTCAGAAAATGGCAGAATAATAATGAAAGACTACTGAAAGACGGTGAATAATTTCCCGTTTTTCTGTTGGTAGAAATTGCGGTGATTATTGTGAGAGTAATAATTTGACATAATTGAAATATTTAATAACACATGGTAAGAGCGTTCGATTGTGAAATTCGGCAGCATAGTGATTATGAAATAAAACAGTTTTTCTGAACAATTACTTTCATGTTTACTTTATTAGTGTTTTATTTATTACTCTTCTACTTTGTTCATTGATGGGAGAGCATTCCAAAGGATGAGAAAGAGTTAAAGCAGTTGAAAAAAATGGTTTGATTTTCTAATTGTTAAAAGGAAAACCGGTTTTGAATCAGTGACGTAATCGGTGGATGGTAATTAATTCAGTTGCTCTATAGCTAATGGCTTCTTTTATTGCAACAGTGGAAACAGGCAGGAGAATCCACCTTTCTTTTATCATATTGATGGATGGATTGTTTCCAATCAATTCCGCTTTTTGATTATCAGTAAAGGATACAAAGAAGATAAAAAGACATTCTTTTTAACACGGACAGTTATTTAATAAATTAAAAATTTACGCGAAATGCGCTTCTTTTTCAAGATAATGATTTAGTTGACAGTATCAACAACAGAGTGTCGTTTAAATGCAAACGGTGAATCATTAAAACTTATGAAGAAGGCGGAAACTGAAAAAAAACTGCAATTTAATTATTCATAACGAAAAGTGACGATGTCAAGGGAAATAACTCCTTTGGAAATTGTAATTAGCAGCATTTATTACTTCAACTTTGTATTATTTCAACATATTTTATGAAATTTCAAAAAAAAAAATATCAAGTGCCAGAACACAGACACAAGTTGAAATTGCGTGAACAGAGTCAGAAAAGTGCATTAAATTTTGAAACAAATGAATATTCATAATTAAAATTTCGAAGAATTTTATGACGAAAATGGAGTATCTCTCTGGATGTGGATTTACACGTAAAAAAATGTTGGAATGTTGTTTGTCCACTCCTCACAATCATGGGATGGTCGATGATACAAATTGCAATCGAGATTACTTTGGAAAAATGATTCAGGATTAAGGAACCACGACTGGCGATTTCGAAGCATAGAGACTACGTAACGAAGATAATTCTCATTTAAAATCATTTTTTTTTCAAAGTAAAATATCGAAGAAGTTATCCAAGAAATTATTTATATATTCAGATTTTTTTTTTTGTCAAACAGGAACTAACTATGTCATCCTTTTTTCCAGCCCTTGTCACAATGTCCGATTTAAAACTTTACATATATATCTATTTACAGCAAACCTGCTTCTTACATTGTTGATACAAGTTTCTTTACAGAAGAGAACTGCGCTATTTTTGTTATGTTGAAGTTTGAAAATGTACCGCAAACGCAAATGCATCAATTATGTAGGAAGCTCACATATGTTGACATATGTCGCGATACATTGATATGCAATGCAATTCGCCACAGAAGCAGTTGTGCGGACAGCAAAGCAATACCCACAGCAGTAACATCCGTTTCATTTAATTAAATAAGCGATAATCATGAAGGTCCTATGTGCCCAGGGCACTTCGCCCGTCTTTTTCTGTGTCTTCCATTTATCGCACAATGCCGCTTGGGAAGGATAGGCCAAACTAAATCAGCTGTCAGTCAGTGACATCAACCATCCTCGTTCGTTGCCATATATCTCGGCATACCAAGGTTACTACACTTCACCACTTCTCATATATCTATCTATTTTCATCTCATTATTGTTTTAGTTGTTCAGGAAATTAACAGCGCTATCTCATCCATGTCAGTTCCTTTTTTCCAATTTCCGTCTTCCGTGACATCAAAGCAAGATAAACAGCCAAATTGGAATGATCTCGGGAAGTTTTCAGGAATGGAAAAGGCAGTAAGGAATGTTTCACATTACCAGATACTTCAGGTAACTCAAGATTGGGAAGTGTTTCAAATTATTAGAGTCAGTAAGACGGCATGGTACCTATTGTAACAGTTGATTATTGTTTAAAAAACAAATATCGAGTACAACTCTGTATGGATTCTTTCCTTCCCCTTTCCAATTTCATATCACTGATCACCCAGATTGCTTCCTCGAACTAATCAAGATTATTTACCCAAAACTTCCTGCAGTACATATTACAATGCATTGGTATTGCTCGGTCTTTACGAGTCGAATTTATGTCTTTTCCGTCTTCGTAAATATGTTCCGGTAAATTGAAATTTCGTTGTTATGAATAAAATAAAGTCGATGGCATGCAGTGAATTTTGTATCCAAATTAGACTTCAACATCCTACTGAATCACAAAAAGCAAATTAGAGAACAAAATTTGATATTTTAAAATTCAGTCAATTCCCAGTAAATGTGCTCAAGAACCATTGAAAAAGATGAAAGAGGAATAAAATTTGAGATGCTTCTATTACATCATTTTAATATTTTCCCAAGATTTGCTAGTGATCTCTCAAAAAAGCCCCGAGAATCGAGAATATTACCGACAGACTAAAATGATCGTGAAAGAAGTTGCGAATTTTGATTCGGAAAAAAGAAAAAACAAAAGGAAAGAGTGAAACCAATTATGGTGCTTCTTGAGGCTTTATCTGTCTTTGTTTGAGTAATAGATTGAAAAAACGATCAAGCGAAAATGTCTCATTTCGGGAGTGAGGGAAAACTGATTAGACTGGTAAGAGCATACGTCTGCTAGCTATTGATAGTGCCATTATTGCGCTGCTGCTATTGCTACTGCCATTGCCACTGTTATTGGGAAATAGCCTTTTAAAGCGGATGTATAGACATGAGAATGGAAAGGTTTATGAAATGATAAGCCTCATTCGATGTATTACCCGGGTTCAACAATCGTAGACAATTTCGCAGGATGATCGTTTGGCTGCCACCATGATTTTACGGGAAGGCTATGAATCAGTGAGGATATCGTGCGCATTTGTTGAACCTCCTTTAAAATATTTAAATGTCATACAAATAAATTAGTCAGAAGGTGTATGTCCTAATAGTTCGCAAACTTTCCCAAAACCGATCCAATTATGTAGTCTGTACTGGTCCATCCCTCTGGTTCTCCATCTTCTTTCATCGAATTTTATCCAAGTTTATGAAGCTCCATTATTTGTTAAAGCATTTATCCTGGACGGAGGACGATGGTGTGATCCTACAAGTAACAGGGCCTCAACTAGTATCATTAAATATATGGAGCTCTATCTTTTCCATCCTTTCCTCATCACTCTTCATCCTGTAATAGGAGGAATGACAGATGAATCCTCTGAGAATAATAGGAAATATGGTTGGGGTTCTTCCTTTACTCAAGCTATTAATTGCAGGAAGGAATTGGTGATACTGTCATTCCTACTGGAAGTTCATTCCCTACTGGAAGATCATTCCGTTTCAATACTTTTCTTCTGAAGTTGATTCCATACGGCAAAGGTGTGTCTGTTCCCAATCGAATTCCAAATTGCAAACTATCCCGATGTTTTTGTCTTTGGCAAGTCAGGCAACGTAATCATCAAGTATTGATTCTAAAGTAAATTCGCAGCTATACGGAAAATTAGATAGATTATAAAATATTTTCCAATACAATTTTTATGCATTTAACTATTTCATTTCATACTAACTACTGCTTTTTCGTCACTTCTACATCGTTTGTTTTTGTGAATTTTCATGATACTTTCTTGCATTTTTTGGTTTTTCGGTAGATTTGTTAGCTAAATATTTTGTTTAGTGCTCAATTAGTAATCTTTAATCTTAATTCTATTATTTCTAATATTATACTATATCTTTACTAAGCAATTCCAGTTGTAACTAAAAGTAGAATTGTGAATTGACCTCTGTGACATATCGTTGAGTAATATGACTGATATTTAGACAATTTCATCAAGATAAGCAAGGAAATAAGGACTCATATGTTCTATTATGCAGCAAACAGCTATTATAACAGCCTCGAAGAGCTTTTGCCTCTTATTCAGGGATAATTAATGGTGGCGGTCGGTTGCCCAGCACTTACATTTGTCTCTTATCTGTTTTCTCCTACCTGGCTTCAATTTCATTTAATTCTTAACAATAAATATATCATAAATAAGGTATGACATCGACTTTGATCACATTATATTCGATTCATTATATACCAAAGAAGGCCAGAACAGGATTGAGAAATAAATGTCTATACTTTTCAGTACATTGCTTGTCCCCATCATATGGAGAGTTACTAACAAATGTACCGTGACACAAGATACACGTAATGCAATTCACGTAACTACCAGTTATAAGTAGGTAAGGTAAACAGGTATTTTTGAAACCGCAAAAAGACATTGCTAGCTTTGGTGATTAGTATAGAGTAAATAATTCCTACTTAAGACATCTCTGTGCAGTTGCAAAAAAAGAAACACAATCAGTTGTTTAATAATTAAAGACTAAGGAATGATTCTGTCCAAAAACTGCTCATCGTTTTTTGGATAATGCCAGCATCTCTCCCATCTTTTTTCTTGCAAATACCCATTTGGTCACACGGAAGAACCTGTGGCATCTGTCAAAATAACACTTTCATCAAGCCGATTCATCTGATAAAATTTGGGTCTCTTTTCTATTCAAGTCTAGATCAAGATGAATAACTTGGATAGAGATGGATGAAGCAACATGGTAGATACTATAGATGGATACAAATTCACAGGAACAATAATCCTTAGATGCATCATTTTGTAGTTTTATCAACAAAGACACTCAACAACACATAACTGACGACATTATGAAGAGTAATCAATTAACCAAACCCAATTTATTTTAAACTTTTTTCATTTTCCCTTTCTGATTCAAGCTACTACTGATCTCTCCGGATATTTTTCTCAGTTAAAATTTTTGGAAAGGCACAAAACAAAGTCAAACTTAGCATCGAATTTCAAGTCACCAAAATTCATTTTGCTTTTGTTCAATTTCTTCTCTTTCCCTCTGTCTACCCATAATATTTCATCTACCAAATACAAACATTTTCTATATACCATTCATCCAATTTAAATATAAAACTTTCAAATGTTTGCACTTTTTGTTTTTATTGAAAAATTATTTGGACTTAATCCATCACAATGTTCATATCCTTTCTACCCTACTACTGAATGGTCACTTTTCACTAGCAATACATTCTCTCAAATTACAGCCATTTTTGCAACTTTCAAAAAAATGAAAAAAAAAGAAAACAAACACTAATGATTATCTGTTATTAATATTCATCAATTTACAGAAACATATCTTTCACTAAGCGACTTGTTTGTGATCCTTCAAGCATTACTTCATTAAATAGTGATGAAAATTTGTAGCTCTCTTTTGCTCTTTTGATTGCCAACAAATAATGCTGGGCGGAAACCTTGATAGATCGTTCCAAAGACTAACACTTTCATTCATCTCAAAATTTCTTTCCTGTCGTGACTCCAACCACGACATTTTCCAATCATTTGGATTCCTTCTGTACGACATCGCATGAATAAATCATAAATTTCGCTTTCTTGCTTATCTTATTTTAAAACACTATAGTTAGAATCTTTTTTTAATTTAATTTTTATTAAATTTTAGAAAGGATGATTAAAATGCCTATTCAGTGATCACTTTTGTACTTAGTTTGTAAATCTTTTAGTACCTATTTAACACTTTATAAGCATTGTGTGTCACGAAAACTTGCAAAATGCAGATCTGAAGAATCGAAAGATTTGCCATCTTCCCTTTCACTAGGCCTTGCAATGCTTCAATTTTTATGATGCATGCACAAAAATTAGGATATTCGAGGGTATCCGGGGATATCCGAAACAGACATTAACTTGTATGAATAAAATAAGTATCTATTAACGGTACTCCTCCAATGCGATGAATCCAGTTGAATTATCTGGTCGTAATATTAGTACTCCCAATGAATCGCCTTTCCTTTTGCATCCATCACAATGAAAAGCAACAAGCAAAGAAATTGATTTGTTAAGCAATATTTGCCTACCTAAGTATACCCTTTCAAGCCTCTTTCTCTAATCTCTCAGTTCTTTGTTATTGGCTTAGTCTTATACCTATCTCATTTGTTTTAGAAAGATACCTTTATCTTATATCATTATTATATTGAAATTATTAATTATTTATTCCGTTCCATTAGTTGGGATACAAAATCTAAATCTATTCAAATTTTCTACAAAAAATTTCTCATCGTTACAGAATACTTTGGATTCGTTAAAGTAAAAGTAAGTAAAGTAAGTTATCAATATTTAAAAGTGTGATGGTATAGAACGGGATGTTAAGTGATAAGTAATGCTAATAAATTTATCGCATTTGATATCAACCGTATTGAATCTTTCGTTAGCCTCTGAAGTTGTTTTCACAGAAAACTTGCTCTGTCACCCTGTTCTTGACGTTTTCCACCCTTCAAATCATATTCTAATGTAGTTAATAATTTTTTTATCAGTAAATTAAATAGTCGCTACTTCGGTTTCACGCAGCCAGTTTATTCGATCAAATGCCAGGGGTGTCCTTTCTTCTTCTCATTAATGGTTCTCTTGGGAATAGGTATTCTCCAGTAATGACATTGAAATTAAAGCGATTGTTATTGCTTGAGAATACAAATTGTCAAAGAAAACCAAGCACCTGCCAGCATAACTTCCATTAATACCCGCTCATACATCATCCATCCATTTGTAAACCTAATTTCAATTGAAAACGTAATGCCATACTGTTTAATCTTAGTGCTGCTGAATGTTTCATTTTTCAGCCTGAGGAGAACAGATGCATGAATTCTTAGGGATAAATCGATAAAATATGTTCAAGCGTTATGCTGCTGGAAAGTTGCTGAAAATCTCACAGCTTGTGCAAATAACTTCGCTCGAGTTGTTTTATCCAATGAAGTACAATTGTTCTATATTTCAAATTAAAAATAAATTTGGAACTAGTGACTACCATCGTATGAGCATCCAATTTGAGTCTTTGGGAGAGATAGTATCACGAAATCATATGCCATGTCATTTGAAATTGAAAATTGTTCCTATACCTGCATTCATCACATATAGATTTTAAGTCCAATTTCCCTCTTCTTTGCAAAGTCAATAATGCGTAATTTTAATAGTAATAATCTTTCTAGTCTGTTAAACCAAAACATCATTTCAAACGAAATATGCTACAAGAGAGTATCCAGAAGATGTCATTTTTCTCAAGTGATATTACAAGATACTGCTTTGGTGCAAGTTGGAAGTTTCGCATTGACGCTGCGAACATTTGGTTAAGTTGGCTATTGATAGTACGAGGGATTCAAAACCAAAAGTTTTGGAAAAATTTCCCCTTATAATTGTGCGCATGTCAG